TGCCTTTCATATCAACATCATATCACTCCTCCCTCCTGAATCACCGTCTTCTGTTGGTTTATATGACATAAATTCTTCTGGCTTTCTCTTCTCCCTCCATATTTAAATGTTAGTTCTTTCTTTAGGGTCCACTGCTGTTCTCTTCCTGCTTGATCTCATCCCATTGCATGGCAATAAATATCTATATTCCCAAGGGTCTAAAATGTATAACCTTAGTCTTCTAAGACTTCTCTTTGAGCACAAGAGTCATATAGCCATATATTCCAACTCATTCCAATTGCTTATTCACCATTTCCAGTTGGATGTTTCATAGGCATCACAAACTTAACATATCTAAAACTAACTCTGATCTCTCTAAATCTGCTTTTCTATCAATCTTTTCCACCTCTGTAAAATATTACTCCCATACATAGTTACCCAAAAGTCTTTCCCTCTCACTTATCAATAACATACAATCCAACACTAAGCCTGTTGACTATACTTCCAAAATACATCATCAATATCCAAAATGCATCTTGAATACACCTTGAATTTCAAACCTGAATTTCCTAGCTAAACCAGGGGTTGGCAAACTGNAAAGAGAGAAAGAAAGAAAGAAAGAAAGAAAGAAAGAAAGAAAGAAAGAAAGAAAGAAAGAAAGAAAGAAAGAAAGAAAGAAAGAAAGAAAGAATTAGTACAGTATATGTCATGGGCGTTTGGCATCCTTGTGAATATTATAAAATTTGTATTTTAAATCTGTGACTCCCATGGGTTACACTATCACTGTAGAGTAAAAGTACACAACAGTTTCCCTTCTTAAACAAACAAGAAAAATTAAAAATTAAAGAGGTACTATTTGTTTTTAATGCTTTCACAAATTTTTAGTAAAGTTTTTTCATGTTAGAAAATTTTATCCACAACATTCAGATAATTATACTAATGCAATATCAGTATAGTTATAAAGAGCTGCGATATGTCACCATCCCTGAAAGAGTTTTTTTCCAAAACCAATATGAGAATAACATCCTCCTCAATATATGAATTAGTGGCTATAGAAAATTATTCTAATAAAGTGTGCTTTCCATAAAAAAAAATTTGTGACACATGCTACAACATGGATGAACCTTGAGGACATTATGCTAAGCCACTCACAAAAAGACAAATACTGCATGATTCCACTTATATGAGGTACTTAATCAAAATCATAGAGACAGAAAGTATAATGATGATTGTACAGGTTGGAGGGGTGAGAGAAAATGGGGAGTTTAATGGGTATAGAGTTTCAGTTTTGCATTCAAAAAAACCTTAATTAACTAACACATCTCTCTATTTAAACCTCCATATGCTGCCAGGAGGTAGTCTCACCAAAACATTACTTTAATCAGTATTTAGTCCATTCACAATCTTTTAATGGTTCCCTGTAGTTTCTAACCTCCTGACAACCTTCTACCTCTTGAGAAGACAGGGCTTACCTCTCCTGCCTCATCTCCGATCACATAAACTCATGTACCACAGGTAGTATCCCTAACCCACCAAGCTTCTGTATCTTTGTATACGTATTTCCTCTGCCTCAAATGATACATATCCCTTACCCACTGGATTAACCTATATTTTAGACTGCTTAAATGACATTTCTACTAGGAAGCTTTTCCTGGGTCCCTCAGGCTAACTCAGATGCTCCACTCTATTCTCCACAGCACCTGGTCATAACTTTATGGAAGCACCAAAATCAAATTAATCATTTACTTGTATTCCATTTCCTTAGATTAGAAACTGTTACATCACTGTACCCTCAATGTTCATAACATAGTAAACATTCAATAAATATTTGCTGGATGAATGTATGTTCTACTTCCCTCTTTTCAGGGGACTCTAGTCAAACTACCTTGCTACATCCTATAAATGTTGCCCTACATTATATTCATGTATTTGAGGGTTCTTAAATGACCTACCTTATAGGAAAATTTATTCCATCTCTGTTTTCGATCTGGTTGATTTTACTTAATTCAGTTAAAAAAATATTACTTGCTTAATCTGTGGATTACCATAGTAACTTCTGATATCCACCCACAAGGATGGAAGAACAATATTCATTACACATGTAATATGTGCCTCTTAGTCAATCCTCATTGGCTAATATTATCCTCAATAAACAGATGAGAGGATGGGCTCCGCAATGCTTTAAAAAAAAAAAAGAAAAAAGAAAAAAACCCTGTCCAAAATAATATAGCTAATTGGCTTGTGGCACAGCCATAATTTACACTCAGGTCTGCCTAACTCTAAAGCTCTTTACTGACAATAGCCAATTTAGTCGAAATATGACCAAAGAGTTGAGATGTGAGCTCTGGTCCCAGAACTACCTGTAATTTGCTGCATAACTATAGGCAAGTCACTTACTATCTCTGTATATCCACTTCACATCTACAAGAGAGTGGGTGATAACAATATTTTCTCTATTTCAGAAGGTTATTTTAAAGAATAAATATGTCAAAGCACTTTAAGAAGCAAAAAAAAAAGTTTAAACACCATAAAAACCATAACCTATTGATTCCTTAAGTTCTATACTTATTTTCTCTTAAAAATATATGTAAATTCTTTACAACATTCAAAACATGTTTCTGTGTGGAAAACAAATGTACTACTTCCTTGAGTTTACCTGCTCTGTATACATGACTCTAACTGTCCTTAAATCCATCCCTGAGTTCAACCATGGATGAATTTCATGTCAAACACTTAACTACATAACTGTCTGTGTGTAATGTAATTTTTCCTTACTTCAGTCTGCCTGTTGTCTTAATGAGACTACCATTTCAACAATACGTCCTAAAGTTTCCAATACCATTGAGAACTGGATTGAGCAAACTCTAGCTGAAGCTCCATCTGAGGCACTGATCCTAGATGGGGTGAAGGGATAAAGCAAGTTGAAAGAAGGATGGAGCTCTGGAAGCTGGAAATGTTTTCTCTGAATACTGACTCGTTACCATTTATATAAACAAAGTTTAAGCTTAAAAACCAACATTTAGACAAGATAAGAATCATGGTGATTTGGTGAAAGCAGAATCAGAATCATAATGGACAAACTCCAGGTTGAAGGCTAAAAGCAGACACAAATGTTGGAGATAAATTAGTTTGGGCAGGGAGGATTAAAGATAGCAGGGGGCTCTTCCCTTCATGAACAATTCAGTCCTAAAGCCATTAGCGGGTGGGGTTAAGGGAGGAAATAGAGCAAAATAAGCTACTACAAGTGAGGAACCCAAAGTGGGATGTCAGAGCCCAGGGTGAGTAGGGTAACTTGGGGAGGGGGTGATGAGATGAGATGAGGTGTCTGATGTGGGGGGAGGGGGATGGTATGAAATGTCAAAGGTCTTCAGGGTGAAAAGAGTATCTGCACAGAAGTGGGTGTGTGGTTTAACAAAGGGTGTGGTGTGGCACAGGCAGCCAGGTCTGAGCAGAGTCCAAAGGGCATCCACACGGCAGGGAAGCCCAATGCAGTACGTCAGAGACCATCAAGGTGAGGAGGGCATCCATATGGGCACTGACCTGGGATGAGGAGGCAGAGCCTGACAGAGGCAAAGGGGCAATGACACAAGAAGTTATCCTGGAATAGGGAATCAAAATACAAGCACGGTGAGATTATCCACTTGTGCCAAGGCCCAATGTGGGCATCAGAGCCAAAGCAAGATGAGAGCATTCAAACAGAGACAGAGCCTGGTGTGGGAATTCAAAACACAAGCAGGATGAGAAGAGCTTCTTCACAAAGGGGTAGTCCACAGTGTGAGGCAGACCCTAACAGGATAGGGAGGGTGTCCACATTGAGGGCGGCGGGTGGGGGAGCAGTTGACAGAGTGCAGGGAGAAGAGTGTATTCATGCAGAGGGAAGGGGGAAGGGAGGCAGCAGAGATGAGAAGTCCTGTGATGTTATACTAGAATTTAAAACATCAGTTTGAATTCACAGCTTTCAATATATATACTAGATAGAGAAATAAATATAGATGCAAATACGTGTATACGCGTACATGCATGTATTTCTAACTTCTGTTCACTGAGAAGGACTGAGAGCAGTGAGGCCCCAATAACAATGAGCACACCATGCACCCAGATCTTGCCTTCTAAATACTGTTCTCTACTAAGGAATCAGGGATCCTGAAAGAAATGACTGATTCCAGGAATAGAACAGGGAAAATATAGGTGAACCTGAGACATCTTGTTGGGCCACAAAGAATGAAAGTGCTCAAAGATTAATGGGACAAGTCAAAAGGACTCAGAAACCAGCTCAAAGGGGCTCTCGCTGGCCAAATCTGAAACAGTTTGAGCATCAAATAACTAGTAAGATTATAACCCATCAAATAAAATAGAAATTATGAATCCCTAGAGATAAAAATTAAGTAATGAATTGAAAGTTAGGTGAACAGGGCCGGCCGAGTGGCTCAGTTGGTTAAGAGCTCGCTCAAGAGTTTGAGCTCTGAGCAACAGCGGTTCGAGTCCAGCCCGAGCTGAGCAGCCGCTGAGCTGCCACCAGGTAGCAGGATGGCTCAGCTTAAAAAAAAAAAGAAAGTTAGGTGAACAGACTGATACAGTTACATAGCTTCAAAGTGCATCCTCGCAAAATATTAATTACAATGAGAAAAAGGGTAACTCTGTGGTGAAGAAGTCTGGCTGGCACCATCCTAATCAAATGATCAAAGAGAACGCCATCAGTAATAAAACAAACAAAAATCATAAACCACCACATAGGGTGCAGTGAAAAGACTTCAATATCACTTCTATAGTATTCTCGCAAAAGGTTCATAATCTGAACCTAATCATGAGACAACCCCAATTAAGGGACGTTCTACAAAATAACCAAGCTATACTCTTCAAAATGTCACTGTCCTGAAAGGCAAAAAAAGAATGAGAAACTATTCCAGAAGGACACTAAAGCCATAATAACTAAATGCAACATGGGATTCTGAATAAGATCCTACAAAGTACATCACTGGACAACTGGTAAATGCTATTACATATATCAAAACGATACATACCTCATCTACGAAGTTAATAGCATCAAACCAATCTTGAAGAGCTTCAATGCAGTATCTAACAACATTTCTTGTATATTCTTGAGTTTCCTAAAACAATAAGTTATATAAATTTTCAGTGTACATATATATTTTTTCAACTCCAAATTATATGCAATACATAAAAATAAGTTATATGCATTGTATATATAATGGTAAACTTTTTTTTTTCAAAATAACATTTTCCATTTCAAGAAGTCATCCCTTCACAAACTAATAGTAACAACCAATAACAATTAAGAAAATTAAAGAACACAATCTGCTACCGTTTATATAACATATTCCTTAAAATAAATCAAAACTGAAATAGATTTATTTCTAAAAACCAGGTTCCATTTCACAAGATCCCAAAAATAGAAGTTCCCTAATGTTACTGTTTAAGAGGCACAGAGTTTACTTTGGGGTGATGAAAAAGTTTTAGAAATGGATAGTGATAATGGTTGCACAACACTGTGAAGGTACTTAATGTCACTGAATTGGACACCTAAAATTGTTAAAAAGGTAAATTTTATGTTACATATATTTACTACAATAAAAAACAAAAAACAACAAAAGAGGGCTGAATATATATGAGTACTGTAAATAGCCTGTGAGTACCTTTGTTTGCAACAGAAATTAGAAGAAAAAAAAAGATAAGTACACTCCACTTAAAATAAGAGTTTGTGATAGAAAATTATAATGTTTTATAGAGAAATAGATCCAGTGAAATAGGCAAGTGTTAAGTTAAATGAGAAAATAAATCACGATAGCCTCTCTTCATAAAATGGGAAAGGACTTTGAATAGACATTACTCCAAAGGAGATCTACAACTGGCAAATAAGCACATGAAAAGATGCTCAACACTATCAGTCATTAGGAAAATACAATCGAAGTCACAATAAGATACCAATCCACACATACTAGGATAGTTATAATTTTTAAAACATAAAATAAAAAGTGTTGACAAGAATGTGGAGAAATTAAAATTCTCATACATTGCTGGTGGGAATGTAAAATGGTGCAGCCACTTTGAAGTTAAACATAGTTACCAAGCAATTCTACTCTCATGTGCCCAAGAGAATTAAAAACATACATTCACACAAAAACTTGTATACCAGTGTTCAGAGAAGCATTATTCATGTTAGCCAAAAAAATGGAATCAACTTATGAATGGACAAGTAAAATGTGGGATATCTATCTATCCAATGGAACACTATTCAGCCATATAAAGGAATGAAGTACTGACTGATACAACACAGTTGAACCATGTAAACATTATGCTAACTCAGGGGTCAGCAAACTGGGCTCACGAGCCACATGCAGTTCTTTGGGTATGTACATGTGTGAATTTTTCTTATTTTAATAAAGATATAATTAATACTACTACTTGTTATAATATTAGTTTAAATTTTCCTTATTTGTAAAAATATATTTATGGCTCTCGAATAATTTTTAAATTGTTGTGAGGGACAGGATTGGCTCTTCCATCTCAAAAGTTTGCCGATCCCTATGCTAAGTGAAAGAAGCCAGACACAAAAGGCCAAATACTGTGTGATTCCATTTACAAGAAATGTCCAGATTGGGTAAATTCTTAGAGACAAAAGGGAAATCAGTGGTTTCCAGGGGATGAGAAGAGGCTGGAATAGGGAGGTATGAGATTTATTTGGGGGCTGATAAAATGTTCTGGAATTAGTGGTAATGGTTGCACAACTTTGTGAATATGCTATCAACTACTGAACTGTATATTTTAAAATAGTTAAAGTGGTGACTTTTATGTAATGTGAATTTTATTGCTATAAAAAATGTTTTTAAAATAGACATTTGGGAGCCAGCTGAGTGGCGCGTTGGTTAAGAGATGGCTTGGGACACGGGCTCTGAGCAGCAGGGCCCTGGTTCGGATCCCACATTAGGGCCAGTGACGCTGTGCCCTCTACAGCTAAGATGGTGAACA